CTAAACTGAACTGACAGATTTTTCTTTTCCATTATGGATACTGAGTTTAGGTCCCTGTGATATACAGTAGGATCTTGTTGCTTATCCATTCTCTTATATAATAGTTTGCATCTGTTAATCTCAAACTCCCAATCCGCCCCTCCCCTACCTCTTCCCCCGTCACAACCACAAATCTGTCCTCTATGTCTTTGAGTCTGTTTCTATTTCATAGATAAGCTCACTTGTGTCATGTTTCAGATTCCATATATAAGTGGTATCATATGGTATTTGTCTCTTTCTGACGGACTTCATTTAGTATCCACTCCATCTTCAAAGATTCCAGTACGTATAAATCAGAGTCCAGATTCACAAGGATTTGATAAAGCAAACAAACAAAAAAACCCACTGAGGAAGATCAAGTTTCTAGAAGAAGCAAAGACGACTGTGACTGAGTAGCCATGAGCAGGGAGCTGCATGAAACACAGAAGCCCGCCCGGATCTGATGAGAGGTCTCTCCGCAGGGTGGTAACCGGGGAGCCAGAGAGGCTACTAACGATCAACTGACGTCATCAGCCTCCAGCCAACCAGGTCAGAGGAAGATGGGAGGAGAAATCCACAAGGTACCAAGCTCACTGGCTGAGCTAATTCATGACTGTACTTGTTACATAATGGTAAAGACTGGGTTTCCTCAAGGTTTCTCTGATCCTGTGCTTCTGCAACTTCTTGTTCAGGGCTTTGCTTTTCCTTTAGTTATTTATTAGTAAGGTAAAGTGAAAAGTGTTAGTTGCTCAGTTATGTCCAACTCTTTGTGACCCCATGGACTGTAGCCTGCCAGGCTCCTCTGTCTATGGGGTTTTCCAGGCAAGAATACTAGAGTGGGTAGCCATTCCCTTCTCCGAGGGATCTTCCCAACTCAGGGATAAAACCCTGGCCTCTTGCATTGCAGGCAGATTCTTTACAGTCTGAGCCACCAGAGAAGCCCTCTTATTAGTAAAGCTGCTTTTAAAAGATCTGTCTTGACCAAACTATATAAAGATTGTCTGCACCTTAGCCAATCCAAGTTTGGGTTGTAAATCATTGTCCTGTTTACAAGCCAAATGTTTCAATCTGGTACTGTAACATACTTTATCTCATTTTACACTTACAAGAATCCTGAGGAGTAAAATCCCCAAGCTACAGGCTTGAAGCAAGAAGCCTGTGACACTCAAATATCTGTCACCTTGATTTTTACTTTTACAAAGGGCACAATCACATGAGTGTATACCTGCTCACCAATGTACTATCTCATAATACTAAAATGCTCTACAGTACAGACAGAATGCCCCTAATTTCTAAAAGGCAGAGGGAAACTCAATGTAGAAACTCTCCGATCTGGTCAAAGAATAGATTATCTGAGTGACCAAGTATTTTAATGGACCAGGTTCCCTGCTGGGAGAAAAGAGAGTACCCAGGGAGTTGACAGAGCAAGGAAGGTAGGAAATGTAACCTACAATCCATGTGAATGAAAAGCTTTCAAAACTTTCAGATAAAACAACAGCACAAATTCTTTGAACACAGCTAAAAATTTGATGTTTTCAATTCAGAAGGCTATTCTCCCCCTAATAAATCCATTTAAACATTTTATTAAGTACCTAGTACCTGTGTAAGGCACTGGCTCTGTGAGAGATACAGACATGAGTAAACTCTATGCTCATTCTTGAGGACTCAGCAATCTGCAGTAGAGCTAAGACAAATACACAAACATCCAAACAGCCAGACTTCGGGCAGAATGTCGTTCATAAGCACGGTATGGACAAATAGTGTCAGGCATCTGTGATTACGAAGGTCAACTATAAATCATTTTGGCGAGAGGTAAAATGGCTGGTTAGAGGATTTCCAGGTACAATGCAAGGTATTAGCTCTTTCTGTGAACTAATATGTATGTATTTTTACTAACCACTTTAACCATTCTCAGAATAAACAAGGATTTCCCAATGACTTTTTTTAAAAAGTTCATTCATATCCAGAAAGTGATCTTTTTTTTTTTTGGCTGCATGACACAGCTTGCAGAATCTTAGTTCCCAAACCAGAGATAGAACCCCTGCCTCCCACTGGAAGCACAGACTCCTAACCACTGGATCGCCAGGATATTCCCCAAAAAGAGATCTTGAGTTTACGAGTCTGTGAACTGTGTTATATTAACTCAGTATATATCTCACTCCCTTGGTTCTTCCTAAAATTAAGAGGGATAAAGGAGCCATCATCAAAAATACAACACACAGAAAAGTTAAGAGGAGAGGTTGATTTAGAGTAAGTTTTATTTTCTGTTTTTTGGCCAAGCAGCATGTGGGTTCTTAGTTCTCCAACCAAGGATCGAACCTGAGCCCCATGCATTGGAAGCTCAGAGTCTTAACTACTGAACTGCCAGGGAAGCCCCTTAAGTAATTTTTTTAAAAAGGCAGAGTGTTCTAGTAAAAAATCATGAGCGTTGGAGACAGAATATTGGAGATTTATTATAGACACAAGCCTGGGCAAATTACTTAAGGCATATGAATTTCAATATGCTTATCTGTAAAATTCAATCATTTAACACATATTGAGAACCAAGCACTTTTCCAGGTGTCAGGCATCCAGCAATGAACAAACCCTTGCCATCATGGAGCTTACACTCCATAGAAAGAATACGTAAAAATGAATATAGAAATATACAGGGGAGGGGAGAAAGGAAATTTAAAAACGCAGTATGTCAGATGGCCATGAGCACTAAGGAGAAAATTACACAGAAGGCGGTTTTGAAGAATGGTCAGGGAAAGTCTCACACAGAAAGATAACACCTGGAACAAACACAAGAAACAAAAAGGAAGTAAAAGAAAGTCCTGTTCATATCTGGGGTTCAAAAAAGGGAGCAGCATGAGCAAAGGTCCTGAGGCAGGTACATGCCTAGTTTGTTGAAGGCACAGTAAGAAAACCAGGGTAGCTGATGCAGAGTGACAGAAAGGGAAGACAATAGTGGAAAATGAGGTCTGAGAACAAGAATGGGGAGCAATTGTGACAAGGACAACTAGACTATTTTAAGGGCTCTCTTTTTCCGGAGTGCATAAGAAGCCACCTGAAGATTCGGAACACAGGAGGTGACTGATCTGACCTACATATCAGAGTAAAATTTACCAACAGAATTCTTCTGTAAGGACCAAATGAAACATGAGACAGTTCTTTAAACTGGAAGGTCCTACAAAAATGCAAAGCATTCTTACTATATCACGAACTTTCTAAGTGCTTTTTAGTCAAACAGCTTGGCTAAACTCCTACACAAAACAGTAGCAGACACTACGTAGTAAATACTAGGTAGTAAACACTAAGAACAGCTCTCCCCGCTCTTGACACTGTATCTAAGAATGTAGGAGCTTGGCTTTTTGCTCTTATATCAAACTACCAAAAATTTTTATTTTAGGAACTTCCCTGGTAGTCCAGTGGCTAAGACTGAGCTTCCAATGCAGGAAGCCCAGGTTTGAGCCATGGTCAGGGAACTAGATCCCACATACCATAACTAAGAGTTCACAGGCAGCAACTAAAGATCCCGACTGCCACAATTAAGACCTAGTGCAGCCACAGAATTTTTTTTTAACAGGAGAGATGAATAGTGTGAAAACCAATCTCACAATCATCAAATCCAGCTGTGAGTCATGCAATTACATGCGCTTAATGAGCATATCCTGCTAAACTGCTTGAAATGGAAAAAACCAAGGAGACTCATCTGTTAACATAAAGAAGACCCAAAAACTTAATTTGTACCTTGGCAAATTTATTATTTATTGGCATTTGCGAAAAATACACAGGACAATTTTCATTATGTAATGTGGCAAATAGTACAAAGTAAATTTTTTAAGTAAATAAACTTCCTATATGATACTGGACAGCGCATCAAGTCACTGCTTACAAGAAATTATGGAAACTGACAGCCCTGTTAATTCATAAGGAAAAACAATGCCAAGCTAAAATAACACTGGAAACGAAATTTAAGTTATTCCCCCAAATTCCGACCTGCCTTTGGGGGTGGGGGACGTGGGGGATGAGGGGGATGAGGGGTACTCGATGTTACTTTGTCATTTCACCTAATGTATGGCTACCACGATTGCCTATATGAAGATAACTACTGCCATTACTAATCTTTCCCTAAACTCCGGTGTCACACTGCCGGGTGACGACTGAACACTGCCAGCGGATAATCAGCAACAATCCCACATAACTTTTACTGAGCCAAACATCTTCTAAGCACTTTAAATTTGCGTTAGACCCAGTCCTTCTTAAATCACCCTTTGAGGACTGTACTATAATTATCTCCATCTCTACAACCAACTAGCCCAAAGTCACATTTTAAGAAAAAGAACGAGCACTAGAACCTGTTTGCTCCATGAATGATGCACTTAACCACTGTCAGATAAAACAGATTTGTAACTAAACGAAACTGATCCAAAATAAAACTCAACAGATACAACAGTGACTTAGCTCTATATAAAAATGAAACTGACCCGAAATAAAACTCAACAGATGCAACACTGACCTAGCTTGGTACCTAAATGAAATAGATCTAAAACAAACCTCATCGCATTTACTTCGCCTTCCTAGCCCATCTGCAAATCAGCTCTTCCAGTCCTACTTCGAGATGGAAAGGAACTTAAATCTCAGTCACCTGACCTCAAAACTCAAATCAGGTGTGATGCCTACCAGAAGCAGGCAGTCCCTGAGACAGCCCAAGCTGCCTTCAAGCCAAAATTTCTCAGGACACAGGCCACAAGGCTACAGCCAAAGGGAGGGTGGCCCCACAAATGCTGGGGGTGTGTCGAGGCGCTGTCTCCGCCTGCGGTCCAAAAGACTGCATCCCACTTGCCTCTTGGCTCCCCGAAATGGACTTTTGCCATACCCCAGCCCCACGTGAGCCTGCCTGGCCCCGCAGCAGCCCCGCTCCTCCGTAGCAACCCCACTTCACGCCCCCATCGCCCCCCTCGCCTCCCCTTCACCTGCCTAAGAACTGCAGCGCTTACCTGCTCCTCTGCTTCCGCCATGGCGCAGCCGGGGAGTCACCTGATCCACCCGGAAATGAGAGAAAACAAGACCCTGGAACCCAGCGCATGCTGGGAAATGTAGTTTTAGCGTCATCTGAGCCGAGAAATTTATTTTAGCTGATGAACCTGCTGGACTTCATTTCGGCTTCCGATTCTCGAAGTTGAATGGAATTGTGCTTTGGGGAATCCAGACATAACCATTGTTAATGCTACCATTTATTTCATTGTTGAACTTATCGTTTCCCTGATTACTATAGTTGAAGGAAAGTTGCAAGTCTCAAGGTAGCCTGAAACTTCCCTCCAGGTCCTCCCCACTATTCTGTGCAAAACAAAGAACTCTCTTACCAAGGAAAAATGGACATTAGGCAGATTACGCCCAGCTCCCAGCCTGTCCAGCCTTTGGCCGACCTCCAAAATTCCTTGCCCAGCCATTTAAGAGATAACTACTCCGAACAACCTTAGAGAAGAACAGGCCCCCTTAAGACAGTAACTTTCCACATACATGCCTATATATACTTACTCATTTCTTAGGTTAGTGCAGCAGCTCGCTAATCTGACTGCCCCTTCTCGCCTCATTAAAGGTGATCTGTTCCTGTAAAGTGCTGATATAATTCTTTTTCTGAACCTCACCTTCTCTAACTCCCTTACCCTACAATAGTATTTTATATTTACTGTTTATCAGGTCCTGAGCTTAGAGTTTTGCATGCAGTGTCTCATTTAATCCTCCCAGCAATTTTAACTGTTATTTCTGTTTTATAGAGGGGAAATGGACTTTCAGTCCCACAAGGATCATTATACCAACCGAAGAGGCTGTGGAAGCCCCCCATTAGAGTCATCACAGAAAAAAGAAATAAGCCTAGACCGCTACCATTCTGACTTTCCTCACACACTGTAATTGTTCCTTTTCCATTAGGACATAGACCCACCCATAAACTTCTAGGACCACACTCTCTCCAAATTGGCAATCTCTTCTGCTTTAAAAAGAAAAAAACAAAACTTTTTGTTATATATTGGAGTATCTCCAATTAAGAATGTTGTCATAGTTTCAGGTGCAATGCAAAGCATTCAGCCATACACATACTTGAACTCTTGTGCTTTGATGAAACATAGGCTTAGGATCAGGAAGGAAAACAGAAGATTATAACCACTATCCTGCCCCTAGGGTGTTCTTGTTGTATTGTTCAGTTTTATTGTGGTGAGAGGTCAAGTAACACTTCCAGAAAAAGAGAGACTAAATACTGGAGATAAGTGAGAAAACCACCACTGAAATTCAGAACAAAGTCGTCTTCTCCTGAAGTTGTTTTTCTCTTTAAATTAGGAGTTTGAGGTTAACATATACACACTATTATATATAAAATAGATAAATAATAAGCACCTACTGTACAGCTCAGGGAACATACTCAATATCTTATAATAACCACCTGTAAGGGGAAAGGATCTGAAAAAGAATGATCATATAACTGAATCTCTATTCTGTACATCTGAAGCTAACACGTCATTGTAAATTAATTATACTTTAATTTAAAAAGAGAAAAAGAAGTAAAAAAAAAAATTGTTTTTCTTTCCCAACAGTGTTTGCACTCTCAAAATACCGGGGAGGTGCTAGCTTCTCTCTCTCCTTCTAGGCTGGCAGTCTTCCACCTAACCCCTCTTGGCCTCTGATGTCAGCTGCACCGAGTCTTCTCCCAGACCCCTGTCACCTGGCCCCGTGTTGATGGTAGAATTAGAGGTGGGGATCAGTGGAAAGCCATTATTGAAAAGATCTTCTGAGAGTCACAATCAGCTCCTTGCCCGGGGCTGCTGCTCTTTGATTTCACTGCTGAATATATGCTACCTTTTCTTTTCTTGAAGTCTGGCGATCCCTAGGTCTGTGTGATGGATGAGTCTTCTCCACAAACTCTCCAAGGGACACATTTCTCTCATCTGCCACACAGGTTCTGCTCTGGGGACCCTCTTGGTGGAGAATATCCAATGGCAGCCCAAGAAAGCAAAGTTGGAGGCTGGCCATCAGCTCTGGGCCTTCCTGGTTTTTCTACTTTTCTGGAATGCAGAATGTTCAGCCTCCTTCTCTTCCTCAAAAAGGATGTTATGTGCTTGATTGAAAATGTAGTCAAAGTGTACAGCAGAATTCTCCTCTGCTCATTCAACCTCAGAGACGATGGATGCCCCACGTCCATTCCGCATTCAGTATACTGGCTTAACTACGATAAAATATGATGAGTATTACATATATGACTGTTTCCTTCGGAGCAGACTGGAAAGTGAAACGACAAAGATATGGAAAGATGAATTCGAGGAAAAAAGCCCCTTCAGGCTGACAGGTTCACATTGTGCCTGTGGACAAGATGAAATTCATATGTGACCTCTGTGCCCCAAGTCTTCTCCTGTGAAATGAAAGTTTGGGGTTTCTCTTAACTAGAATGTTCTCTATCTCCTGTGACTCAGAGTGTAGTCCACAGACCAACAGTATCCATATCACGTTGGAGCTTGGAGCTTCTTAGAAATGAAGAACTTAGGGACTTCCCTGGTGGCGCAGTGAATAGGAATCCACCTGTCAATGCAGGGGACACGGGTTCAATCCCTAGTCCAAGAAGATTCCACTAAGCCTGTGAGCCACAACTACTGAGCTCACGTGCTGCGACTACTGAAGCCGGCAGAGCTCGAGCCTGTGCTATGCAACAGGAGAAGTCACCACGATGAGAAGCCCCTGCACCAAAAAGAAGAATAACTCTGGCTCCCTGCAACTAGAGAAAACCTGCACACAGCAACAAAGACCCAGCACAGCCAAAGATAAATAAATTTAAACTTTTTCTTTTTTATTTTTTAAATTTTGAAAGTAAGGTAACACAATTACAGGAGACTTGGAAATTACAGAACAAAGTTACATGTAGCTTCACTATATATTACAATTATTTTTTTTTTAAAGGAAAAGAAATGAAGAGCGTAGCGCCCCTCAAGAGACGTACTGAATAAGAATCTGAACTTTAGCAATATCCCCATGTGATAGGTATGTACCGTAAAGTCTGAGAAATGTTCAGACTAACAGTCTTTCATTTTATGGAGAAATGACTTTTTCTTTCCCATCATCAGATCACACTCTCCAGCTTCAAGTTATGGAGGTAAGAGTGAGCCTCAGCATCTCATTCTCAGTCTGTAGGGCCTAGTACTGTAAATGGTTCACTGGCTTGAAGGCTCTGTTTCATATGTTTGTTGTATAGGCCTGAAAGAGTCGACCAACTTGATACATTTAGTCATTTGATTAATAATAACCTATCTCATTGTTAAACACTATGAGGGGGCTTTAATATTTTCCATTATAAGATAGTATTTCTAGAAACTTCCCTGGTGGCCCTGTGGCTAAGTTTCCATGCTCCCAATTGCAGAGGGCCCAGATTCAATCCCTGGTCAGGGAACGTGATCCCACATCTTACAACTAAGACTTCGAATGCCCCAGCTGAAAAGATCCCATGTGCTGCATCCAAGACCCAGTGCAGCCAAATAAATAAATAATAAATTAAAATATAGTATTTCTAAATTTCAGAAACTTAAAAATCAAAGTGGAAAGATAAAGCAAAAAAACTCATCCCCTTTATCCTTTCTAATTGGATGATGCTTTAAAGAATCTTTTCCCAAACATTAGCTTCCATTCCTTCTTAGATTGCTGCCTTTTTCACTCTAAAGGTCTTTCTTGATAAGCAGTGACAAGCAAAGTTGCACCACCTTATGCTACTGACCTCTGAGCTATGATATTAATCTTGCATTAACTTTCTCTCCCAATAGATAAAGTAATTTTTATTTTTATCAATTTTGGTAATCCTCCACTTATTTTGCAGCTTTGTTTTTCAAAACCTGTACCCACTGAAGCCTGTCCTTTTCTAATATTTCAGAGGTAATCTTAAGATATAGCTTATTGTAATTTTCCCTGAGACCCTGCACTAGATTTTTTTTTAAGAAACATCTTTCTAATTACAAAAAGAATGCATAATCATGACAGAGCGTTGGAAAAATACCAAAGAAATGTTTAAAGAAATTCAGAAGCCATTCATAATTTCTCCCTTCTTGTAAATATTTATTCTCTCTCTCTCCCCTTTTCTTCCATTCTTTATCTATAAAAAATATTCTATCAAGTTTGTCATCGGCTTTCCTCAGTCATACTTCAAGATTGTTTTCCAGTAACATTATAAATTATTTTTCTAAAGTATGATTTAATGCTGCACGTTAAAATTGTATTCTGTGAAAATGCCATTGTTTATATAATCAACTCTCTTCTATTACAGAGGGTGGGGTGGGGCATGCTGTGTGACTTGCAGGATAATTCCACAATGAGGGAACCAGGGATTGAAGCTGGGCCCCGACAGTGAAATCCCCAAGTCCTACCCACTGGACCACCAGAGAATTCACTAATCAACTCTTTTTTATTGCATACTTTGAGTATATCTAATTAACATTCCTGTGCATGATGTTGTCAGGTGCTATAATAAAAGGTGGTATCAATATAGACATAAATAGAGCCAACCAAATAAGAAACAACAGGACCATTTATTCAGAACCTGCTCCAGCATGGACATCAGCCACCCTCATCTGTGTTTTGACAGAGAGTGAATGGTGGGCAGAGGAGTGAGAAAGCTTTATGGTGGAAAAAAGGAAGGCTTCAGGTCTGCCCTGATTAAAGGCTGATGGCAAGTGAAGCCATAAACGGGCTACGAGAAGTAGGGCATTCTGTGTGATCAGCTAGGGATGCATATTTAGTTTTTCAGGTTCTAAGTTGAAAGTAAAGACAAAAATTAGGGAAGCTGTTAGTTACTAATCAAGTCTTGGACACTTTGGGTCAATTATTACAGAAATTATTTTTAGCTTCCTGACTAGAGACAGCAGTCTGACTACCTACAAGTCTGATTTACAGCAGCCTGGCTTCCAGGACTGCTAGAAAAGGGGCTGATTTCCTGGGCAGTCAGTTAGAATTCTGTTTTTATATATGGTCTGGCCACTGACTATTTGTATATTTCATCTCTCACAATATATATTCGTAAGACCTATATATGAAATCTTTATCCTTTCCC